AAAAAAAAAAAAAAAAAAAAAAAAAAAAACCACATCTTTAAAATTAGGATGAGTAAATATATAGACACAGCTTCCCTCTCTGTGACCGATAGTGTCAAAAAACCTTGCAAAGAATCAACAGCAACCAGGGGAAGAGAACATGGTGACCTGAGACTTCTCCCTTCTCTACAAAGGGATAGTTGCCAGTCTGGGTGCCGGGTGTTCTGAGAGCTTCAGCCATGGAGAATTCTGCTGAAGAACAGCAGCTGCTAAGCTAATTGGGTTCTAATTAGCCAGTCAAGAGATGATATGGACATCTACAGTCCCAAGAAAATTTTTAAAAAAGATTTGATCTCTTCCCATAACCCCCGTCTGCCTAGAACGACGGACCTGACTCAGTCTTGCCATTTCTTAGTGGCTCTTTTGCTCCTGGCACCCAAGCTAAGGATGGGGCTAAGGAAAGCCATTCTAAAGAGCTCACTGACCTGCTACCATCCTGGCCCTCATTCTAGTCCTCCAACTCATGAGAGTGGTTCTCACCTGGAGGCCTGTGGACTGGGGTGTTTTTCCATCAGATGGTCACAAAGCTGATTCCTTTTTATTCCTCAGTCTCAGCCCAAATGTCACTCTTTAAGGAAGCTTTTCCCTCTCACCCTAACGATGCTACCGATTCTCCCACTCTGACACTTTCTTCATAGCATACATCTTAATTACTTGTTTCACGTATACTAATTTTCTCCCCTGACTTGAATGTCCACTCCATGAGAACAGAGACTTCATCAATCTCGTTCACCCTTGTAGGCTCTGCATCGTGAGTTTTATCTGGCACACAGTATATACTTAATATATATATTTATTGCAAGAATAAATAAACAATAAGCAAATGATCAAGACTATCTGGTATAGAACCAGTGGGGAAGAGGTCACAGAATCTGTCACCTGTCAACGGCCACACTGTAGTCATTTCTTCCTCTCAATTCTCCCAGTGGGACGAAGGGTGAAGCTGCACGTGAATAGCTAAGCCACGAAGCAGAGCTACAGAGCACATGGTTTTTAAACTTCTGGGCTCTTAACAGAAAACCACTCTGAAATAAGTTGCAGGAGATTCATGAAATTCAAATACAAAGAAAAAAAAAGAACATATTTAGATGTCAGCAAGGTAGTTCTGCCAGCCTAATTATGCCCATGACATGTAATTGTGAACTGCCGAAAGACAAATGGGAAGCAAAGCATTTATTATACACACATACAGAGGTAAGACTAAGGTGTTAATTTTTAAGCAACTGTCATAAGCCTGGTTCTAGAATATTATTCCACTAACGTTACTGCTGTTATAACAAAGAATTTAAGTGTGATGATGAGCTCCTTTCATGTATTTCTTAAAACTAAGAAATTAGGCTTGCCAGTCAATCCCCAGCAAAGACTCTGAGAACAGAGGAGGACACAATGGAAATGTCAGAATATTAATTAAACCAACAGGAAGAGAGCTGTGTGTATGTCAAAGACGCATTTTAATGGCATGCATGTCTTCATATAGACATCATAGTAGTCAAGCCAAGAAATGTACACTTTATGGTTCCTGATATGGCAGATTCAGTCTTCATGGAAGGCAAAAACACAATGAAACAAAAACTGAAAGCCCACACACGCCCACTGAGGAAAGCACCTGAAAGGCAAACTAGTGACTTTTCTCAGAATCAGAACAGAATGAAAGTCTCTCTCCTCTGGAACAGGGATTCAGAAAAGGACTGGGGTAGGGGAGGGGGTCAGTTAGCAATGGCTCCTGTTATATTAAAAGGTGACAAAAATCATGAAGAAAAGTGTTGATAAATGTTCTAGTTACTGATATGTTTGAAAAGCATTCAAAATTCTAAAATATTATCTGTGTATTATTTACCTGATCAACTGATTTATCATTATCATACATTCAAGTTTTATAAATGTTTTTCCTCCACTTTACTGAAGTACCAGAATCAAGCTCAAAAACAGAATCAAAGAGACTTTTAAGTTTATTCATAAAAACTATAACATTTAAAATAGTGGAATCATTATTAATATTATCCAAAATTCTCAGAAATTCTTTAAAATGGTTAATTATAATTCACCCATTTTAGTTCATGTGGGAATGTTTAACGTCATTTGCCAAAAAAGAATACTGAAATGGTATAAAGTGGTATTCATTACGATTAAGACCTAATCACTAAAGAAGTCCAGAGGCATGGAATTGATGATCTTGCATATATGTTTATAAAACATGGACTAGAGAAAGAGCCATTTACTTTACCAAGAAGTCCTTTGATCTCTCAGCATATTATAACTAAGAGGACAATGGAGGTCTTTTTGGATGACTCCTCCTAGCCTTGAGGTTTCTCTATTCCTGTTCAGGGTATGAAGTTGACTTACAAAACCATCGCTTTTGTTCCAGCTTTGCTTTATAGAACCTCAAGCAAAGCCTCGACCATAAATAAAGCAGCAGGGCCCCAGTAGCCAGCTGAGTCATAAACCCCACTCAGCGGCATGTGGCCCAAGGTGTTGGGATCCTGACAGAGTCAAGCCAAGCAAGTGGAATCAATTGAAGTCAGAGTTTGGAAAAAACAGAGAGCTCCCCTTCCCTACCCCAACTGGCAGTGGGAGATACCACAATCCCCCTTCTACAGCTCTCATCCAGGGAATGGTAATAAGTCCAGGAAAACCTCTAGACCTGGGCAGACTTTACTTCCACAGTCTAAAAAGGAAGAAAAAAAATGGTATTTTACAACCAATCACAAATTCTGAATGTACGGTTCTCCTACTTTTAAGCATGAAAGCAGTTTTGTTGCTGCTAGGTTATTGTCACCATCATATTTTTCAACATTTGTGCCCAGGACCATTAGGCCTTATGGTACGTAGGCTTACTACTTTAAAATTACTGAGTTAAGCATGTTTAAATGTCACAAAAAGCAGCAAACACACGCCCTACCTGCTTGGGCATGCAAACTTGAAAAGAGAAGGTTTACAGAAGGGCCTGCAGGTCAGCTCATTCTGGTTCTGGCAGACTGATGTCAGGAAGGAGCTATAGAAAACAGAATCCTGTGCAGGAAAAACACTCCGCCTTTGGTTCCCTCAGGCTAGAACTTGGAACTGCTAGCAAACATGCCCTAAAAAGCTGCAATTCTCATAAAATGCTAAAAGCTCCCAAGTAAATATGGCCCCTCAAACCCATGTACAAATAAGAAACATTTAATGAACAACTCTTCCTTAACCAATCCCTCTACATAAATTAAGTCCAGCAGACTCTTCAAAAGGACAAAAGAAGCCCCCCATTATGACAAATTCTATATATAGACATCCAAGACAATTATATGATACACATAACAAAATATATATAATTATCCTAGTTTCTATATTTCCATTACCTTCATAAATATAGGATAAAAATCAGTCTAAATGACTTTCTCAGACCTCCTCAAGGATTAAGGCGAGCCAGCCAGTCTTTTTAAAGTCTATGTATGTAGTAAAGATCAAAAGCAAATGTTCTGGTCAATTCTTTTCTGCTCATGGTTTTACTAAGAATGTGCGCAGTTTTCAGGGAAAACACCACAAATGACAGCTGCTCAAAAGCATGGGAATTAATTGGCAGCAGGAATTTCCTTGACTAATGGGGAAAAACTTGAAGTCACATGTTTTGATGAGCTTATTTTTCCCATCCTTAGTCAAGCATATTCACTGCTAATGATTAAGATTTTCACCAAATAGAAACATAACCAAGTAAAATCTTGAATCCATTTCCTATCTTTTCTCAGTGGAACACAGATACCCATCACTGACTGAACAATGGCAATAATGAATAGATTTTAGCTTAAATAAATGCAAGGAGCCACACCAAGACACAATAGGGAAAGTGCACTTATTACATTAAAACATAGTAGCAAGTGACCTCCTCCAGCCCCCACAGTAAGCCATCTGCTTTGGGCTGTTTTTCTAGCAGTAGGGATGGATTTACACTGATCCATCCACAGTCTATCTGATACAGGGGCTCTCAAGTCATTGCCCTTGTGACCAGTGGTGAGAATGGACAAGACAGCTGGTCAGGATTAGGTAAGTAGCTTGTGGCCTTGGGACCAAGTCATGTTACTGTGCCCAGAGCCTGATGCTATAACCTTGGGCTCATTAGCATTATGCTGTCATCATCCAAGCTAACAGCCACTGATCAGCCGTGATCCCACATTCACCACTCTGGGGGCACTACGTCTTCTCAATCCCAGCAACGATGTAAGCCTTTTCTTTTCAACACAGTCTGAATGGAGCCCATGACACTCAAAGGCTCATGCACGAGGGAGTCTGCATTAAAATTGTCCCTCAAGGCAGCGATGAAGATGTCCAAGCATGAGCAACCACAGCCCTTCCACTCTAGTCAAAATGACAGCTCTGACAGAACTCAAGTAAAGCAAGACATAGTCAAAGAACTTCCCAAAACTAGGTACCCCAAGTGCCACAGTGGAACAACATACCTGGCCATCCCCAGACTTGGAAAGTTGGCAGGGACGATGAGAACATCCAGCCGAGAGAACGGGTGTGTTCCCAGAACAGAATGTGCTGCTGAGAGGCAAGGAGGGATCAGCCGCAGAAGGGTCTCTTGGCAGGCACCCTTGAGGCACACGGGGGCAAAGACCCGATAAGGAATGATCTCCTGGGCGGCAGCAGAAGCGTTCTGGAAGCGGCAGGGGTATTCCATGTGACTGCAAACACCAACATGCCTGGGAACAACACAATATAAATAGATGCACTTAAGGTAAACCATGTTTATTCTTCCTGCTGTGGAGGTGAGGCAATCTTGCAGATGTAGACAACTTTTAGGAGACCGAGGTTCAGACAGGCTCACAAGCAAAGACTGCTCATTTCAATTCTTGGCTTTACTGGCTCTGTAAAGCAGTGAAATTTTACAGGTCAAATACTTATTGATGTGTTTGAATCAACAGACTAGCTTCAATCTAAGATAAGTGAAAGCAGTAACATTTTGTTTTAGAATAAACTTTGTTCCGGAGGATTCAACAATTAGCCAGCCACCACGCATGGCTAATTTTGTATTTTTTAGTAGAGACGGGGCTTTAATATGTTGCAGGGGACTTTGTTGTGGGGGACTCAAAACAATAAAACTTCTCACCAAAATGCAAACAATTCCTGCCTTCAGTTAGGTGTTTTCAAGTATCACCATATGACCAATCTCCAAATTAGAGACAATTCATAACTCACAAAGGAAGGAGCAGTACACACAAATTAAATATCCAATTCTGGAATTACCTGGAATAAAAGACTTGGACTGAGGTGAAACCAGGAACCTAATGAAAGTTACAGGTTCAAACTCCTCAAAAGAACACAAACCATTTTACTGAATGGTGATCTAGATGTTCTTAACACGGCCCATCAAAAGCTGTTACTAAGGAATACAGAGGCCCTTTTGATAAAATATTTTCCAACCCACTTTCAGTACAAATTTAACTGAGCCAGCCTTTTAAGGAAACAGATCAGACCCCAGCTGCTTCATCTGACCACTGCCAGTTATTCCATCAAAGGCAGAACTGAAAGAAAATTCCTAGAACCTGAGTCACACGCCTCAAGAGAACTTATCTACTCAAAGCTACATCCAACGGTACTACATTTTTTCACCTGATAACATGTCTTTTATTCAAACATAATGAAAAACCCCTCTAATCTTAATTTATTTATTCATATTTATTTATTTATTTGAGATGGAGTCTAGCTCTGTCTCCCAGGCTGGAGTAGAGTGGCGTGATCTCGGCTCACTGCAACTTCCATCTCCTGGGTTCAAGTGAGTCTCCTCCCTCAGCCTCCCGAGTAGCTGGGATTATAGGCACACACCACCACGCCTGGCTAATTTTGTATGCTTTAGTAGAGACAGGGTTTTACCATGTTGGCCAGGCTGGTCTCAAGCTCCTGACCTCAGGTAATCCACCACCTTGGACTTACAAAGTGCTGGGATTATAGGCATGAACCACCGCACCCAGCATATTTTTATTATATTATTGGCCAGGCTGGACTGCAATGACAGGCTCATAGCTCACCGTAGGCTCCAACTCCTGGGCTCAAGCAATCCTCCCACCTCAGTCTCCTGAGTAGCTGGGACTATAGGTGTGTTGCCTTGCCACATCCAGCTTTATTTTTTTTTCTAAGAGATGGAGTCTGGAGATGGGGTCTCCTTTTGTAACCCAGAGTGGTCTCAAACTTCTTGTATCAAATGATCCTCCTGCCTTGGCCTCCCAAAGTGCTGGAATCACAGGCATGAACCACTGCACCCAGCCAGTTCTAACTGCAGGTGCTCACTTGACTCACAGTGAATACTGAAAAATCTTAAGACGCTGGTATGTCCCAATATGGGCAGAATGCAACAATAATTCCTCTCCAAATTTATTAAGTACCTTTCACTTACCCAAGGCCAGCGCTCAGGAGACCAGTGTGGCTAGGTACAGATAAGTCTCACTTTCTAGCAGCATGGTACACAGAACACAGCTTCCAGCACCCAAAGGCATTCACCACAGTGGAGAGTAAGAAAATGGGTGGAGACCCATAAAAACTTGTCAGATGAAGGTGACATGAAGGACAGAATTCTTGACACTGAATTCTGGCCAAAGTCTCTGGATTGATAACCTTACTTTGTGGAGAGAGTGAGTCAAAGTGCCTGTTGGTGGACATTTAACTAAAAAAGGCTGCAATGCCCACCTAATGACAAGTACCGTGCTGGTGTATGAATGCAGTCAAAGGTCTCCCAAAGTAAAAAAGGCCATTTATTAAATTAACCACCACGATGTCTTTTTCCCATTATCTACACAAATATATAATGTGCTCAGTAATTTCAGTTCATATAGTCTCTATTGTAAAGCTTTCAAAGTATGTTAAACAACAGAAACTGGAGATGTGCAAGCATCTTCTGGACAAAGCTGGGGCCTAAGTTTAAATTATATCTACCATAGCACAATTTTGCAGAAGGTCATTCTAATGGCCTCTCTAAACACACGACGGGGAAAGATTATTTCTTGCTGCCAGGAACCCTAAAGTTAGAGAATACTGAGGTAGCCAAGGATACACCCAAAAGTGTTTGGCCTGATGACTTTCTGATGATCACATACAACCTAAACCTGAGAGAGAATATTCCATCTCCATGGTAAGTTCTCTCATATCCTTTTCCAATCAGGAACAAGGTGAGTTAGAGTCTCTCTGGGCATACAAGGCACTAGCTCAGATGATGAAAATGATTCTAGTTGTGTGAATTAGTACCATTATAATCAAAGCTTGGGGGAAAATCCAGGACTTTAATGCAGTCAAGCTCTGACCAGGTGAGAAGAGTAGGCTCCCACAGAGGAAATGGAAATGGCATCAGGGAAGCCACTCCTGGGGTTTCGCGTAGGGATCAAGAAACCTGGGCTTCGGTGTCTTCTCGGACTGGCTCTTTGTGACCAAGGCAGGCAACCTGGTATCTGGGGCCTCTTTTTCCCCAACTTTAACATGGTCACCAGGCTGGAGTGTAGTGACGCAATCTCAGCTCACTGCAACTTCTGTCTCCCAATTCAAGAGGTTCTGCCTCAGTCTCCTTAGCAGCTGGGATTATAGACACGCATCATTATGCCCAGTTAATTTTTGTATTTTTAGTAGAGACAGTTTCACCGTATTAGCCAGGATGGTCTCGATCTCCTGACCTCGCAATCCACCTGCCTTGGCCTCCCAAAGTGCTGGGAATAAAGGCGTGAACCACCCGCCCAGCCGATTCTGTACTTCTACAAAGTAATGGTCTTCCACAGACACAGCACCAACTCAAAAATGCTGCACTTTCTATCAAAGCAACTTTTCATATACTTTACAACTCTAAGCCCTGTTACCACCAGATTCTTCTTTCAAATAATCAGTCTCCATGCATTTTCTTCTTTGTAGTGCCCATTTTCCATGCCTTTAATCATTTTTGCTAAGTTCCTCTGGACTTTATCCAAGTTTCTGTGTCGTGCTTAAACAGTATGGCCCCCACAAAGGCCTCAAGAGGTTAAAGCAACATAACACAAAGATTCCCCTGTAGCTGAAGAAGGTTATATGACAGCTGAATAAAATTAATAAACTTTCAACAGCTTATCTGAGTACCTTATAATCAGTGTATTTACTAAAATGCTCACTCAGAGTGGCTGGAGCATGTGTGAAAGTGGGGCAGGAAGAGGGAATGTTCTTACTATAATGTCACCCACATGAACACTGATCATAAGTTCAGTGACCAACGCTTTGGCCAAACTTCTGGAACCCAGATGAACACTTTAGGCAAATGAAAACCTGTGGTATAGCAGGCCCCTGTGAAAGTTGGATTTACATGAATTTGACTGGTGGTCTTAGGAAGGTTTGAAGTAGAATGGGTGCTGGGTAAGACAAAAGGGACCAGATGTGAACATAACCAAAAACACCACTGTGACTGGCACTTCAGAGCACCTTTGTTGGCAAATTTTGCATGAAGTCAGAAATGTAATGGATGAAAACACAAAGCCACTTTCCAGTAACTAAAGACAGCACACCTGAAGCACACGGCCAGGGCAGGACTCAGCGAATGTAAGCTATGCTTTTATCAGCAGTATATTCCTGATGGACGAGCATACTGATAAAGGAGGGGAGAACTTAATCATAGCTTATTACACCTGGAAGGGAGCATGGGAGGAATCCCGTTCACTGGGCCTCACAGTCCCATAAAAAGACGCGCTTCCCTAGGGTGGCACCCCTCATCTCTCACCCCAGCGTACCTGACTGGCTTGGTCACTTCAGGCTTTCTCTTTTGAATCTGCTTGCCCACAGAGGGTGCACTTTTGGGCCCGTTCTTGCCATGTGTCAGGCGGACTCTGCATCTGTGTTGCGGATGCCAGCAGCAGTCCAGCTGGGCTGGGAACTGGGTGGGTAAATTTGTCTCATTTGGAAGTGGAGTCTCAGAAAGCCCACTGAGACCATGCACCTGAGCACTCCTTCAGTCCAGCTTCCGTCAATAATAAAACCTTTATTTTTATCTCCTTTGTCTGTTCCTCAACTGGTGAACTTAGGAGGACAAGAGAGGAGTTGTACCTGCTTCTTCCCCTAAAGCCCAACAAGAATTTTAGACACCATCTCTTCCCGGAATCTTCATTTGATTTGACCATTTCTTCCTCCTTTCAGAATAGTGATGCAAGAAAACCAAGAAGCCATTTAAGTTGCTTCTGAGCAGGAAGGAGAGAGCACAGAGTCAGTGGTTGCTGCCCACTCTCCAACCCCACATCTCTTTGCAATATGGCTAGAAGGGCAAAATGACAAATTTCTGTCTTTGCCTTCCCCTAGCCTTCCAAAGGCACACATTTTCCAACTGCACAGCTCCTCCAACAATCAATCAATCAATGCCTTAGATGAAAAAGAGTACTTCTTCTCTATCAAGAATTTGAGAACCCACGGACAAAGCCCTCATTCTACAGATAAGGAAAAGTATAGCTTTGTCCAAAGAGCCACACCCAACTTGCAAGAATGTCACTTTCAGGCCCAAAGGCCTTGCTCTCCACTTCTGTTTTCTGTTCCAACATGACACACTCCATTGAATAACAGTAGCTCAAATCATGGCAGCGAATCTCAGGATAGGAAGGTGGATCAAACTCCAGGTGAGGCATTCATGGTACACATAGTTTTTTTTAAGTCTCCAGGTAAGACTCTGACTCACCTCTCTCTGGGGTCAGGCCTGGATATAAATCCAGCTTTTGCTACTTACAGTACTTACTATCTGAGCTTCGATATCCTTATCTATAAAATAGGAATAATAATCTATCCAATCTGTTTTGCAGGCTTATCTTCAGGACTAAATGAGATGATATTTAGACCAAGACTTTCTCTGACTTCGAATACCCAATGGCTACTGTATCAATTCAGAACAGGCCAGGCCATGCTGTTAACAAACAACCCTGGTGTTTCAGTGGCTCAACACAAAACAGTGTACCAGGTCCACTGTAGACCTAAGTGACTCTCCAGAGTAACTGTCATCCTCACCCATAAATTCAGGCCATCTGAAATTACAAAACAAAGCCTTACTCTGTGATCCCACTGCAGGGAAGAGAGCACAGGAGGATCTCACATGAAATTAAAGTTCCCACGTGAAGGTAGAATATGTCACTTCTGCCCACAATTCCCTTCTTCCCTCAAGAATACAGAAGTAAGGCCGGGCGCGGTGGCTCACACTTATAATCCCAGCACTTTGGGAGGCCAAGGCGGGTGGATCATGAGGTCAAGAGATCGAGACCATCCTGGTCAACATGGTGAAACCCCCTCCCTACTAAAAATACAAAAAATTAGCTGGGCATGATGGCGCGTGCCTGTAATCCTACCTACTCAGGAGGCTGAGGCAGGAGAATTTCCTGAACCCAGGAGGTGGAGGTTACGGTGAGCCGAGATCGCGCCATTGCACTCCAGCCCGGGTAACAAGAGCGAAACTCCATCTCAAAAAAAAAAAACAAAAACAAAAAAAAACAAACAAAAAGAATACAGAAGTAAAATCTAATATGCAATTTAGGATGTTCATATAGCTCAGGAAAGACAGCCCAAAATAGGCAAGGTACTGAACAAGAAGTGGAAATTACCTCCCTTCTGCCAGAAAAAGCAAAATGCAGGCAATATGTGCCCATCCAAAGAGAGAGCACATAGTTTCATCTCTGAAAGATGAAGACGAATGGCCACAGTTACTGTGGTACTAGTAAAAGCAACATGGTAAAATAAAACCAACACAAAAGAAATCTGCATTGCGGTATATCTTAGCAGGTTTTCAAGGAGTAACTAACCATCTGTACCATTACTCCGGGCTTTCTCCACCAGAAGATACTGACCTAGCGACTTTCTGTAAATAAGAAAAATGATTCAACTGAGCTGGGTATAAAATCCTAGGAATGAAGCACGATGCATGCACTGTGCATCTTCTGGGTGTCTCCTTTCTCCCTCTTTTGGCTCTCAAAGCTAGAAACCATTGAGCATCTAGACAGGCTGCCAGTAAATATCCAATGGCCTATACTAATTTTTTAAAACATCAAAATGATTTTATCTGGTTCATACTTAAAAAAGAAGAAATCGCTACTGATGTTAACAAAGCCCTGACCAAGCAGGATTCCCTGAATCCAGGGGTTTTATGTCAGATTCCCTGTGTCTTATGCTCCTAAAGAGGCGACCTGCCCCACTGAGGGAGGTGCTCTCCCTACAGTGCACTGCTAACAGCAGAGTAGCATAGAAAGTAATCCATCAGAAGCTAGGTGATTTATTTTTATTCCTTTTTTTTTTTTTTTTTTGAGACAGGGTCTTGCCCTGTCTCCAAGGCTGGGGTGCAGTGGCGCAATCTCGGCTCACTGAAACCTCCGCCTCCTGGGTTCAAGAGATTCTCCTGCTTCAGCCTCTTGAGTAGCTGGGATTATAGGCACCTGCCACCACGCCCAGCTAATTTTTTGTATTTTTTAGTAGAGACAGGGTTTCGCCATGTTGGCCAGGCTGGTCTCAAACTCCTGACCTCAAGTGATCCACCCACCTTGGCCTCCCAAAGTGCTGTGATTACAGGTGTGAGCCACCATGCCCAGCCCCAAAGTTATGTTTTTGATCAGATAAGCACTGAAAACCAAAGTTAAAAGGTATAAGAGGAGAGGAGACGTTGAGGATTCCTTGAATTTAGCCAAACACATATAAATATTTTAGCAGACTTCACTGGATTTCCTCTCTCTCTTTCTGCATAAATAATATGCTTACATCTCTTCCTCTCAACTCTCTTTCCTTTTTTTCTTTTTTCTTTTTTGTCAAGAGTCTTGCTCTGTCGCCCAGAACTAGAGTGCAATGGCATGATCTCTGCTCACTGCAACCTCCGCCTCCCGGGTTCAAGCAATTCTCCCGTGTCAGCCTCCTGAGTAGGTGGGATTACAGGTGCCCACCCCTACACCTGGCTAATTTTTGTATTTTTAGTAGAGATGGGGTTTCACCATGTTGGCCAGGCTGGTTTCGAACTCCTGACCTCCAGTGATCCACCCGCCTCGGCTTCCCTAAGTGCTGGGATTGTAGGCATGAGCCACAGCACTCAGCCTCTCTTTGCTTTCTAATAGGGCTTTTCCTATTTTGGTTTAGCTTCTCAGCAGGAATGACTCACATTCCCAGTGCTTGGAAGAAATGCATCATACCACTCCCTCAAGTGTTGTTGTTTTTTCTCTTTCCCAGCAAGTTCCCAAACACAAACCTGAAGTCGGCCTCAGAAGGTGACAAGGGTCTCTCTGTTGCCAAATCATTTGATGAGCATGTCTCCAGCTTCATTTCTGTCCAGCATCCCACTGCAATTGTGAAGGTGGAGGCCGGCATTGGCATAGTTACATAGTAATACCAGCTTGAGCACCCTATAAACAGGAAGAGAAAAACCGTAATAAGGACAATATATGGCTCTGGACCCTGCTGTGTATTTCTTCTCTTGAGGCATGTGAAGAGCTTTTGTGATAAGCTGGTAAGAGCCAACTCTTGGAGGTCGGTCACATCAGCAGAAGAAGGGGCACTATTCCAGGTCTCAGGAAAGACCAGGTCTCAGGAGGGATGATGGCTTCAAGGCAGCCAGGAAGGTCTGGGTCTCTTCCACGTGAGGATGGTAGTGCAGGGGTTCCCTCACAGCTGTAAACACAGAAGGCCACAGGCTGTATGCTCCTACAGAGACAGAATATGTCTCATTCATCCTTATTGCTGAACACAGTATTTAGCATTAAAAAAAATGCTCAATTGATACCTGTTGAATGCGTGGAGGAGTGAGCAAAGCCATGATTGCTTTGCACGGTAACTAAACTATCTTGTCCAAATTTAACTCAAGTCAATATAAAATGGATATAGCAGAAAACACATGAGACTAGGGAAGGGAGACACTTGGGTTTTCATCCCAACTCTGAAATTAATTATCTATGGAAGTCCAGGTGTTACTTTTAGTCCCTTTTACCTGTTTAGCTGGTCTTCCACTCCTTGCTGAGCAGATGAAAAGCAGGTGTAGAGGTTTAATGGAGCCGAGGACTCCTAGTTTGTAACAGGGCTGGAATTAGAGCTGGGGAGGGTGTATTCTCCACTTGGTCCAAACCTTAGGGGCTTTTTATCAAAGTTATAAATGGCTGATAACTTGTAACACTATACTTCCCTCATTTATAAGATGCAAAAATAATTTTAATGTTTCTGAAATCTGAATGTGTCATACACCTGATTTAACATAGTATTTTTTTCTGAGCATCTGCTATAATCGTGTGTCTTAAGGGGAATTGATTTTTTTTTTAACTTTTATTTTAGGATCGGGGTACAGGTGTAAGTTTGTTATATAGCTAAATTGTATCATGAGGCAGGGTGGAGGGAGGTTTAGTGTATAGATTATTTCATCACCCAGGTAACAAGCATCGTACCTGATAGGCAGTTTTTCTTTTTTGAGACAGGGTCTTGCTTTGTTGCTCAGGTTGGAGTGCAGTGGCATGATCACAGTTTACTGTGGTCTCAACCTCTTGGATACCCAATATCCAATGTCTCAAGTGATTCTCCCACCTCCCAAGTATCTGGGACTACAGGTATGTGCCACCACATCCAGCTTAATTTTTTTTTTTAAAAAGAGCCTCACTATGTTGCTGAGGCTTGTCTTGAAATCCTGGGCTCAAGCAATCCTCCCACCTTGGCCTCCTGAAGTACTGGGGTTACAGGCATGAGCTGCCATGCCCAGTCTGATAGGTAGTTTTTCTGTCCTCACCCTCCTCCCACCCTCGACCCTCAGGTAGGCCCTGGTGTCTGTTGTTCCCTTCTTTGTATCCACGTATACTCAATGTTTGCCTCCCACTTATAAATGAGAACACGCAATATTTGGTTTTCTGATGCTGCCTTAGTTCACTGAGGATAATGACCTCCAGCCCCATCCATCTTGCTGCAAAGGATATGATCTCAATCTTTTTTATGACTGCATAGTATTCCGTGGCATATATGTACCACATTTTCTTTATTCAGTCTATCATCAATGGGCTTAAGTTGATGCAATGTCTTTGCTACTGAATATCACCTTATATTATGGAACACATTTCTCTACTCCTCATGTTCCCACAGGGGACTTTATATTGACTTTAACTTCTGCTACAGTAACATCTTTCAGTCCCTTCACAAACTCCTTTATAGGAGCTATCATTCTTTTTCTTGCTTTAAGTTTTAGAGGGTTAAACACATTTGACATCCAATCGCTGACCAAATTGGCCTGTGGTTGTCCAGTTTGGTCTGTGATTGGAAGTCAAATTCAGAGTTGAAATATTAACATGCCTCTTCTGGCCTAACATGACATTCTTTAAAGTGCTTTACCAGTAAAAACCAATAAAAGAGGTTAGATTTTGATCTCTATGTGCATGGTTCCCTTGTCTATCTTGAAACAAATTCTGAACTCAGGAAAGTAGGACTTAGTAAAAAATAAATAATATTTCTGGTGAGCTTCAAGTTTGGAAGTCACGAGGGGACTTACTTGAAGGAGAGATACAGAAGGACGTGCTCAGAACTGCTGGAAACCCACCAGAGTCAGCCATTCTCTCCAACTTGCCTGGAAGCTGCATCCTGCTTCTGGAACCAGAATGGCCACTCTGGAAATCCCTCTCTTTGTAACTGACTAAAAAGTTGAAGGTAGGCCAGGTGCAGTGGTTCATACCTGTAAGACCAGCACTCTGGGAGGCCGAAGTGAAGTGATCACTTGAGGTCAGGTGTTTGAGACCAGCCTGGGCAACATGGTGAAACCCCATCTCTACTAAAAACAAAAAAATTAGCCAGGTGTGTGTGGCATGTGCCTGTAATCCCAGCTACTCAGGAGGCTGAAGCAGGAGAATCCCTTGAACCTGGGAGGCAGAGGTTGTGGCGAGCCAAGATCGCAACACTGCACTCCAGCCTGGGTGAGACTCGGTCTCCAAAAAAAAAAAAAAGAAGAAGAGAAGTTGAAGGCATACTCCTCCTTAAAGAGACAATCGAACCCAGTGATGTTGAAGCCAATCCAGTGATAGCTTCTGCTGGGCATGAAGCAAAACCACAGCCTTAAAGAGAATCACTGCTCTGATTCCAAGCCAGTAAGAAGGACGTAGGGACAGTCACAGATGTCTTGAAGAAAGAGTGGCATGGATATGATATGACCGGTGATACAGACTCCATCTCTCTCATTTTTCTGTCTTCCTATAACTACCTACGTTCCCTCCAACCCGATGCCTCCCATGACTGCTCCATGAAAACTTTCATTTTTTACTGGAAACACAGTGAGAGGTGGAGCAGGCAGAAAGGAGTGTGCAGATGGGAGAAGAAGAAGGAAGTTCTGGGCAAGGAACTAAATCTTTCGAGAGGCCCTCGTTTAAAAAAGGAATCCTAAACAAATACATTTTCTCAATCAAAGGGCTGTAGACTGTCATACTTTCTCTGAAGTACATTTTAGAGTTTAACTAAGAACCATTAGAAGTTCCTTTTTAAAAATTCAGACCCTTGGCAGTTCAGTAAATAAGCAGAAATGGTGAGGCTTTCAGGTAAAAATGGAAGTTTAAATGTATGAGGCAGAGGCCACCTTTGCTTCCTCCCAAACTCCATTCAGGTAGAGTAAAAGAATTTCTTTTCTTTTCTTTTTTTTTTTTTTTTTTTTTTTGAGACGGAGTTTCACTCGTGTTACCCAGGCTGGAGTGCAATGGCGCGATCTCGGCTCACCGCAACCTCCGCCTCCTGGGTTCAGGCAATTCTCCTGCCTCAGCCTCCTGAGTAGCTGGGATTACAGGCACGCACCACCATGCCCAGCTAATTTTTTGTATTTTTAGTAGAGACGGGGTTTCACCATGTTGACCAGGATGGTCTCGATCTCTTGACCTCGTGATCCACCCGCCTCGGCCTCCCAAAGTGCTGGGATTTACAGGCTTGAGCCACCGCGCCCGGCCAAGAATTTCTTTTCTAAAGACACGAACCAACAACGACAGAGAGAATAAAGCAGGAGACCACTGCAGCAGAATATTGGAAGCTAGAATGCAGATGGAAGCGTGGCAAATGACACAGCAGACCTGAATCCTAAGTTGGCGGTGGGGAAAGGTAAGACCCACCTCATTTTACCCTTTAGAAGCTCCAAAAGGCAATCCTAAACTAAGCAGGACCAGGTGCACATCTAAGAAGTGGTCGATCTGTAGAGAGTCTCCCCAACCCTGCACATCTGGGCTATTTGTCCATCCCACATACTCCTCAACAAATTTATTTTCTAGAAAAGTAAAAGGAGGGCCACTGAACTGGCAGGTGTGGGGATGGAGAAGAAATGGCAGTTGAAGGCGAGTGAATGGAATTAGATGAATACATGCTCATAGGACCCTTATTTGGTTCCAGAAGGCTGGCAGCCAGGCTTTCACTCTCTAAGAAACAGACTGAAAGAAGGGGGCCAGCCTAAGAAATCAGTCTGTGGTGAAGCTGATGGTTGACAAGGCCTCCAAATGCATTCACAGCTTCCAATTCGTATTTCAGTCCCCTGCTCCTAAATGCTTGCATGCAAACTTCCAGGCATCTTTAGAAAGCCTCTAATGCAAAATCAAGATCCAAAAGGACAAGCAAATGAGAAAACAAAAAAGAGAAACAAAGAATAAGACCATTATCAACTCCATCCAAGAAAAAAATTAACATGTATAGAAATAATAATGTAGTCACAGTTTTGCTACAAGCCTCAGCTCTTAAAAACACACACAAATATAACGATATAAACGAAGGCTGGATGCAGTGGCTAGCCTGTGTGATCCTAGCACTTTGGAAGGCCTAGGTGGGAGGATCACATAAGATCAGTAGTTTGAGACCAGCCTGGGCAATACAGGGAGATCCCATCTCTACAAAAAAATTTTTTTTAATTAGCCACGTGCATTGGTGGTGCATGCCTGTGATCCCACCTACTCAGGAGGCTGAGGTAGGAGGATCACTTGGGTCCAGGAGGTTAGGCTGCAGTGAGCTGTGATCATACCACTGCACTCCAGCCTGGACGACACAGCAAGACCCTATGTCAAAGCAATAATATAAATGAAGAACACTGGTCCTATCAACATTATGATATTAATTACATTGAGAAGACAGGATTTTAGGAAGGGGGCCTGTGTTTGACGGAGTTGGGGGAGGGAAGAAGACAGCTAAATCCTTACCTGCCATAGTGGGAAGACCAACTCCGAACAATAAAGTGTCTTATTGAAGGACAGGCAGGTAAATATCAAGTAATCAGGTAAAAGAGGTGAAAGTGGTTACTTCTAAAAAGCAGGAAAAATGGAGGAAGAGAGATTGCAAAGAACTGCTGCTTGGGAAAACCCATCAGAATTATTTGACTCTTTAAATATTACATCTTTAATACAAAATAATTGAACTAATCAATTAG